ACTTTAATCTCCATTGTAGACAACAAGGTGTAGAGCTGGATGAACACAGCAGGTCAAGCAGCATCAGAGGAGCAGGAAGGCTGACGTTTCGGGCCTAGAACTTTGCTGCTTGGCCTGCTGTGCTCATCCAGCTCTACACCTTGTTATCTCAGATTTTCCAGCATCTGCAGTTCCTACTATCTCTTAATCTCCATTGTGTTGATCCACACCATCTTATTTTGCTTTTCCATTATGCATTCCTGCATCCTTGTTCCTAATGGAAATGCCCTATGTAAACTTATCACTGACAGTCAGTGTGTGGAAGGAGGCTACTTGGTTCTTTGTGTCAAATCCACACAGCAAATATTTGACGACACTAATCCCATTTTCCAGCTTTTGACCCACTGCCAATACAAGTGAATACTTAAGTGTTGCTTCAATCTGGATCTCACTGCCTGTAAGGCTGGGAGAGGCAGAAACCCTGGGTATTTAGATGTGCACTTGTGATTCCAAGGCATACAAGGCCATGAGTCAAATGCTGCAAAGTGAGGTCAGAATGGTCAAATGGTTGTTTTTGACCAGCACAGACATGATGGGCCACAGGGTCTTTTTCTGTGTTGGAGATCTCCACAATGCTGTCAATGTTACAAGAGCTTCCGGTTGAATCACCTTTTCACTCAGCGAGTTCCAGACTCCCACCACCCTCTAAGTGAAAACTTTCTCCTCAATTCTCCTCTTAGTCTTCCACCTCTCACCTTAATTCTATGGGCCCCCCTCCCCCTCCCAAGTGGACCCCTCCACTGGTGGAAAAGGTGCCTTCCTATCTACCCCATCAAGTCTGTCATACTTTTACACATCTCCGTCTTGTCCCTTGTCCATTTGCTGCTCGATGGGAAGCAACCCCAGCCTACCTGAAATAAAAACAAAGAACTATGGGTGCTGGAGATCTGAAACAAAAGCAGAAATTTACGGAGAAACGCCACAGGTCTGGCAGCATCTGTGGAGAGAGAAACAGTACAGTCACCCTTTGTCAGAACTGAAGATAGCCAGGGAAGGGTGGCAGTTATGACGACGACAGGGTTTGGGGAGTGTCGGGGGAGGTGAATACAGGACATGGAGATGGTGTCCAGAAAGAGAGACAAAAAGGGTAGGCATTCTCTTTGTTTGCCTATCTTTCTCTTTCACTCTCTCTCTCTCTCTTTCTTTTTCTCTGGGCATTATCTTCATGTTCTCTATTCTCTCCCACTAATCCCCCATCAGAAGGGTCACCAGACTCAAAATGTTCAATCTGCTTCTCTCTCCACAGGTGCTGCCAGACCTTATCTCCAGCAATTTCTGCTTTTGTCCTCAGAACATTACCCGAGTCTCTGGATTGCCAGTCTTGCAGTAATGTCATAAATAGGCTTTATATGTACAGGAATTGGACAGACCATTTGGCTCAATAGTTTATATCCACGTCAATGCTGTTTTCGAGCATCCTCTTGTCTTTCCTTAACTCAGACAATTATTGTAACCCTTTAATCCCTTCTACCTTTTGAAAGTTTCTGGTTTCCCTTTATATTGCAACTCGAGGTATCATTGCGAGACTGTTAATCCCAAGGCTCAGTCATTGACCCCGGGACCTGGGCTCGAATTCCGCCACAACAAATGGTGGAATTTGAATTCAATTCTAATGATAACCATGCATCCATTGTTGGAAAAACTCATCTGCTGCCCTTTAGGGAAGGCAACTGCCATCCTACCTGGACTACATGTGACTCCAGATTGACACCAGTGTGGTTGGTTCCTAACTGCCCTCTGGGCAATCAATGCTGTCCTAGTCAGTCATGCCCTCACCCCGTGACTGAATAAAAAGAAGATCACCTCAAACAATCCCTGTGCTAATAAGGGTCACATGTACACCACACTCTGTGTCATCTTTTGTGATTATCTTACATTGATGGCTCCGAGTGTTGTTCTAGAAAATTAGAAACCGAGACAAAGTTTCTCCCTATTTTTCTAACTAACCTGTTCAAAGATGTTATTACATATTTCTGGACCAGGTGGGACTTGAAGCTGGGCCTCCTGGTCCAGGGTTAGGGACATGACCTCTGTGCCCCAAATTACATTAATGATTTTGATTGGGTCACATCTGTTTTCAAAAGTAAAACCCATGCTGTTAACTTTCTCTTGAGTGATACACTGTACACCCATATTTCTACTAATAACCTTGTTAATCTTTTCTGAACTCTCTTTGGCATCTCTACATCATTTTTATAACACAGCAGACAATATGGCACGCAGTAATGCAGGAGTGGTCTGACCAATGTTCACTCAAACTTCAAATTGCCTTCTTGTACCTGACATCTTGCAGAATGAAATGCTCCTGTTAGAATTGCTTTTTATGACTTTATCTGTATGGCCACCATTAGTGGCCTGTGTCTTCATTTCTCCCCTACCTCATTTAGATTGCTCTTTATGAAGCAATTTGCAGCCTCTTCAGTATTCTTGTAAAAATGCAATACTTCACGCATACTTCAGGTCACGACCAGTTTAGATGAACCCACTTCACATGCTAAATACATTCAACTAGTTCAGCAGGCATGACCAAAATTTAATTAATCAACAGGGACTCTTCAGACAGCTTGATCATACTTGTCCACATGCTCAATCCCTCTATCTCAGATTCAAGGCTAAGATAGACAGATTTTTAATCATTACGGTGTATCAAGAGTGCTGGGGAAATGACAGAAAAGTATAATTAGAGTCATAGAGATGTGCAGTACAGGAACAGATCTTTAGAGACTGTTAGAGAGAAGAAGGTTAAGAGGTGACTTAACAGAGACATACAAGATGATCAGAGGATTAGATAGGGTGGACAGTGGAACCCTTTTTCCTCGGATGGTGATGGCTAGCGCGAGGGGACATAGCTTTAAACTGAGGGGTGATAGATATAAGGTCAGATGTCAGAGGTAGGTTCTTTACTCAGAGAGTAGAAAGGGCATGGAATACCCTGCCTGCAAAAGTAGTAGACTCGCCAACTTTAAGGGCATTTAAATGGTCATTGGATAAACATATGGATGATAATGGAATAGTTTAGGTTAGATGAGCTTCAGATTGGTTTCACAGGTCGGCGCAACATCGAGGGCCGAAGGGCCTGTACTGCGCTGTAATGTTCTATGTTCTATGTTCAGTCCAACTCATCTATTCTGACCAGATATCCTAAATTAATCTAGTTCCATTTGCCAGCATTTGGCCCACATCCTTCTAAACCCTTCCCATTCATATACCCATCCAGATGCCTTTTAAATGTTGTTAATTGTACCAGCCTTCACCACTTCCTCTGGCAGCTCATTCCATACATGCACCACCTTCTGTGTGAAAAAGTTGCCCCTCAGGTTTTTTCTACTCTGACATTAAACCTTATGTCATCTAGTTTTGGACTCCCCTACCCTGGGGAAGAGACCTTGGCGATTCACCCTATCTACCCACCTCATGATTTTATAAACTTCTATAAGGCCATCCCCGTAGCTCAAGCCCTCCAACCCTGGCAACATTCTTGTAAATCTTTTATGAACACTTTCAAGTGTTTCTTCAACACTTTCTTCACCACTCTGTCTACCTGCAACTCCATTTTCAAGGAACCATGAACCTGCACCCCAAGATCTCACTGTTTGGGAACACGCCCCAGGATCTTACCATTCGGTATGTAAGTCCTGCCCTGATTTGTCTTTCCAAAATGTAACATCACACCTATATCCAGATTAATCTCCATCTGCCACTCCTCAGCGTATCAGTATCTGATCGCAGTCCCAGTGTACTCTGAGGTAACCTTCTTAGCTGTCCACTACAACAACAATTTTGGTGAAATCTGCAAACTTACTAACCATACCCCCTTTCATGAGATCAGATTCGTAATTATCAGCCATGGTCTCATTGAATGGTGGACTTGTTAGGCTGAATGATTTCTTCCGCTTCGATGACTTATCATGCTATATTCTCGTAACTTGCTTCAAACCAGCACTAAACACATACAGACTGGTAAGTATATGTTGACTGCATCCTTCCTTTCCTCAAACATAAAGTGACATTTGTGGCTTTCAATTTCAACAACAGAATCTCCAATTCTACAAACTTTCAAATGTGATGTGAACATCATCATCATCATATCCTCCTCTGTCTTGTTAATATCCTAACACAGAAATCACCAGGTCCTGCATATTTATTTATCTCTAATCCCAATGATTACTTCATTTTTAAAATGCATAATAATTCCATTTCTTTGTGTTTGGATGGGCTGCAAAGTTTTCAATGAGCAGCCTGGCTATTGCCTCTTTATTCATTATTGCCTACATCTATCCTTGTTGGACTCATGGTTCTTAACATAATTAAAAGGAAGTTTTTATATTGTACACAAACTTTTTATTTTGTATTCATATTTTCTCTGAATCCGTAAGACCATAAGATATAGGAGCAGAATTAAACCATTCAGCCCATCAAATCTTTTCTGCCATTTGATCATGGTTGATATGTTTTTCAACCCTATTCTCCCTTCTTTGGCAATGGACTCCATAGTTTCACCACCCTCTGGGTGAAGAAATTCCTCCTCATCTCATCTCTTTGTTGCTTTTTCTTCTTTTGTTTACACTATTTGTTTCTTTAGTAAGTTTTTTTTCAGATTAATACTGTCTTGACCTCACCGATGGTGCCTGTATTCCGTTACCTCATGACAGCGACTATTCATCAAAATTCTGCATAAAAACAGCTGGATGACTTCTCAACCTTAAAGAATATTGCAATTCAGATGATATCTCTCCAAATGTAGTCATCTTCCACATGCTAATGACTGACGTCTGCAGCTCAGCGTCAAATCTGACACTGTATTTGACCACTGAACCATAAGAAAACCTAGTACAGATCTCAATTCTGGAACAAACGTAAATTTGACTATGAAATACCCAACTCACACACTTCTGTCTGACACATGAATCAAATTCAAAAATGTAATGAAAACAAAAGAACAGTTCTGGACATTTACTTACCCACTGCGAGGCAGAGGATCAGAGTCAAGGTTGAGAATGTCCGGCCAAACATTTCAAGCGAACCTATTTCTCAAACTCCAAATTTCCATGCGGTTTCACACACAGAAGGCTGTAACACACTGCTATTGCAGAGTTGGCTGCATTTCACTCTACTTTTCTGCCCAATTGTTACAGTTTGAATACAAAACACTAAAAGAGGAAGGCACGAGTAGTTGGGACTGTCCTTGGAAAGCAATTCACCAATCAGTCTCCCGCAACTAAATGAATTTGTACGGATCATACCCTAATGTTTTTTCATTTGAATGCAGTGACTCACGCTCATGTCAAAATCCATTGGCTCTGTGTTAGCTTTACTTTGGGTTGTCACATATTACATAAAGAAGGATCCAGCTGATAACTGATTTGCAAGTTGTTTATTAGTCTGTGAAAGTTCAAACATGTACCGAAGCTAAATGGGCAGGACAGGTGTCCTGCCTGGCTCAGGTAATAATTGGTTAACTGAGTGTCGTGAAGTTAGGTAGAGTGCTTATGGATTGTGAGCCAGGAAATTAGAATTTGGTGTTTTTAAAATGCGAGGGGGGAAGCCATTGTGTGGTCCCTTTAAAAGATGATGTGCTTTTGTTAAGCTTAGAGATCTAAAATGGATGTCGAAGAGCAGCAGCTTGAAAGTTTGCAAGTACACAGAGTACACCCAAATGGAAACATTTGTATCATAAGGCTGTACAGTTAGCAGGCCAAGCAGCAGTTTTTACCAAGATAACACTTTTTGAATGTAGCCAATTAATTTTAACCAGGCACTTAGGTACCAAAAAACAATTAAATATAAATCTGATGGTTTTGACAATGTAGGACCTATCCTATTGTAAAAAATTGATATGTCATCGAGGGTATAAAATAAGGGGGCAGTTGGACAAAGAGCAGAGAGCTAACTGCCATCCGCCAGAGCTAACAGTCCTCAGCTCTCAAGAGAGAATCACTGGCTCCCCCAGCCTCCTCTACGTCTTAGAGAAAGTACCAACTACATTACAAAGGTACCGACGGCACCACTAGTTAACATTCCTGACAGAGGAATTGATGGAGAAGGACACAAAATCTGGCTGTAATTTTGAGACACTAAGTTCTGTGCTTTTTTTTATTTTATATATGTGGAACTTATATTTGTTGTAACAGCAAACCATTAGAATCTTGCTTTATTTGGGAATTGTTAGTAGTTAGAAGAGATTTATTCAGTTTGTTAGTAGTTTAGTTAATTTGTTCACTGTTAGATTTAGATAAATAAATTATTTCTTGTTGATTGTAAAGTGAGTGCCAGGGAATTATTTTACTTGACCACGAGCAGTTTTTGAAAGGCAAGTTACACCACTTTTCAAACTCCTTTTACAGATTATATGGCAAGGTGCTCCTCTTTCGGTGTTTCGATGTTAGTTCTTAGAAGGGGGGCAACCTACACTTTATAACGCTGGGTCAGCAGAGAGGATGATGCAGTGTGTAGATCCCAGGCAGTGGCAGCAATCAGATCTCTCCCAGTGAGTGTTACAAAGCCTTCTCCCTCAGCCGAATCCCCTTCACCCTTCCCCCATCTTCCAACGACTATTGATTGTCAGGTATCTGACAAGGATTCACTCCTCCAATATCCAAGCACCTGTTAATGTACAAACATCCAAAGGACGAGATAAATTAAGATCGGAAGTAGGCCACTCAGTCCTTGAAGCCTGTTCCATCATTCCAGAAAGATCATGGAAATCTGATTCTCCACATTCCCACCTACCCCCGATAATCTTTCAGTGTCTTGTTTAAGAAAAATTGATCCACTTCTGCTTGAAAAATATCCAGTGACTTTGCGTCCACCACCTTTTGCAGGAAGAGTTCCAAAAATGTATGACCCTCTGTGAGAATGTCATTTTCCTCACCTCTGTCACAGATGCTCAACCCTTATTTTTAACCTCTAATTCTAGATTATCCCACAAGAGGAACCATCCTTTCCACATCCATCCAATCATGTCCCCTCAGGATCTTCAATGCTTCAATCGAGTCACGTCTCACTTTTCGAAACTCCGAGCAGATATGAAAATCAGACAAAGAACTACGGATGCTGGAAAGAAAGTCATTGAGTCATAGAGTCATGCAGTATAGAAACAGTCCCTTCGGCCCACCATGCCCACGCCAACCAACAAATATCAAACTGCACTAATCCCATGTATCTGCACTTGATCCATAGCCGACTGTGCCCTGGAATTTGTAGTCCCCATCCAGACGCTTCTTCAATAATGTGGGAGTACCTGTCTCCACCACCCTCTCAGGCAATACCTTCCATAGTTCTACAACCTTCTGGGGGAAAAAGTTTTTCCCTCGAAACCACTTACTCCTGACCTTAAACTTGTGCCTTCTGCTCTTAGACACATCTGCCATGGGGAAAAGATTCTCACAATCTACTCAGTTGATGCCTCTCATAATTCCACATACCTCAATGAGATTCCCCCCTCAGACTCTTCTGCTCTGGGGAAAATAAACCCAGCCTATCCAGTCTCTCCATCCCAGGCAACATCCTTGTGAATCTCCTCTGTACCCTCTGTGTAATCACATCCTTCTGATCGTGCAGCGACCAGAACTGCACAGACTATTCCATCTGTGGGTGAACCAATGTTTTATAAAATTCCAACAAGACATCCCTGTTCTTATATTCTACACCCCGGTTAATAAAGGCGTCAGTGATCTATGGACTTGTACGCGAAGGTTCCTTTGTTCTTCAGTACTCTATAGGGACCAACTATTCATTGTTCGTATCCTTCCCTTATTAAACCTCTCAGAAAGCATCAGGATTAAATTCCATCTGTAATTGCTCTGCCGAATTTACCGGCTCATCAATATCAGACCATAGACTGACGCTATCATCGTTATCAAAAATGCTACCAATTTTTGTGTCATCTGCAAACTTACTGATAATACCTTCTCCACTCACATCTAAGTCATTAATGTACAGAACAAACAGCAAGGGTATCAGCACTGATCCCTGTGGTACACTGCTGGTCACAGGTTTCCAATTACAAAAACAACCCTCCACTATAACCCATTGCCTCCAATTTGCAAGCCAATTTTGGATCCAGTTTGCCAACCAGCCTTGTATCCCATTGGCTCAAATGTTGTGAGTTCAATTTTAAAGTTTATTTGTCTAAATCCCAGTCCAGAGGCTTAGGCAACAACACCTCCTCCATGATAACCCTCAACACTGATTCCCCATAAGGCTGTGTATTCAACCCTTTACTGTGCCTTCTATAGACTAATGACTGTGTGGCCAAATTTCATCTGAACTCCATCGACAAGTTCGCTGACAACATCACCATTGTAGGCCAGATCTCAAATAACGATTAGATGGAATAGAAGAAAGAAGCACAGTGCTTTGTGGCATGGTGTAAAGATAACAATCTCTCTCTCAACATCAGAAATAGGAAAGAGCTGGTCACTGAATTCAGGAAGCAAGATGGAGGAAAAGCTCCTGTCCACGTCAATGGTGCAGAGGTGGAGATGGTCAAGAGAATCAAGTTCCTCGGAGTGATGATCACCAACAATCTGTCCTGGTCCAACCATTTTAACATATTGCTCAGGAATGCACAACAACGCCTCTACTTCCTCAGGAGGCTAAGGAAATTCTGCATGTCCGTAAAGACTCTATCAATTTTTATAGATGCATCATATCTATATATCTATTTTATAGATGCACTGCAAAACATTCCATCAGGATGCATCACAGCTGAGTTATGCCAACTGCTCTGTTGTAGTGAGAGTAGTGAACACAGCCAAGGCCATCATGCAAGCCAAGCTTTTATCCATTGACTCCGTCTACACTTCTCACTGCCTCGGAAAGGCAGGAAACATCATCAATAATCCCTTCCACCTCAGTTATCATTACTTCCAATCTCTTCTGTCAGTCAGAAGATAGAATCCTACAGTGCGGAAACAAACCATTTGGCCCATCGAGTCCACACTGACTGCCAGAACAGCATCCCACCCAAACCCATTCCACTACCCTATCCCTGTATTCCCCATGGCTAATCCATCCAGCCTGCACATCTTTGGACAGTGGGAGGAAATAGGAGCACCCAAAAGGAAACCTACACAGACATGGGGAGAATATGTAAACTCCACACAGACAGTCACCCAAGGGTGGAGTTGAATGCAGATCCCTGGTGCTACAAGACATCAATGTTAACCACTGAGCTACCATGTCAACCTACAAAAATTTAAACACGCATACCAACAGAATCAAGAACGGTTTCCTCTCGCTGTTATTAGACTTCTGAATGCACCTTTCAAATTTTCAATTTAATTTTGACATCATTCCTTATGCACCTTCTCTGCAGCTACAACATTATTTTCCTCACTCTGTTCTATTACCCCAATGCACTTTGTATGGTATGATCTGCCTATACTGCCTGCAAAATAAAACTTTTCACTGTACCTAGGTATATGTGACAATGATAAATCTAATCAAGTCAAATCAAATGTTGTAGCCTGACATTCCAATACAACACTAGGGGACAGCTGCACTGTTGGACATACCAACATTTGGATAGAGTGAAGCAAAAGTTCCAAGCTCCCTGTCGAAAGAACATTGGACATGATTTTGAAGAACAGAAGAGATGTCCTTCCCTGTATTGTGGTCAATATTTGACTGTTAATCTGTCCTGCCAGAACTGATTATCTATTCCTCTTTCAGGTATTGCTGTCTGAATAATAATATCTCCAAGTTCAGAAAAGTGACCTCACTTTAAAAATATTTCCCTCGCCGTGAAATACTTTGGGAAATCCTGCCAATGTGAAAGGTGTTGTATGAATGCAATTTTTCCTTGTTTGTTCCTTATGCTGGATGGCAAGGTTAGACAATTGGCTTCTGGGTAGGAAACAGCGAGTGGGGATAGGGGGTTCTTTTTCGGTTTGGTGACCTGAGACCAGTGGGTTCCACAGGGGTCAGTACTGGGACTGCAACTGTTTACAGAAAGGAAGTGAATTTATTGTAGTCAAGTCTGAAGATGACACAATAATAGGTGGAAAGGCAGGTTGTGACAGAGATACAAACAGTTTAAAGAGAGATATTGATAGGTTAAGTAAATGGGCTAAAAACTGGCAAATGAAATACCATGTTGGAAAATGTTAATTTGTTCATTTTGGAAGGGAGAACAAAACAACGGAATATTATTTAAATGGAGAAAATCTGCAGAAAGCTGCAACAAAAAGGTACATGGGGC